GTGATTGAGCGGAGTAATGACCGAAGCGATACAGACTACCTGTCAGCTAAATATGAACTGAATATTTTAATCGGATTACTGGTTTAGTTCCTTTGGTACTAACTAAATTTGTATTACAATATAGTCTTCTGTATAGTAAAAACAATTATGACGAGTTGATCCCAGCAGCGTGTGTTTCAATCTCGAATTAGAATATGGATAAAAACGTGAGCGATCTGTATTTGTGATTATTAAATTTGCTTGCATATAGGTAATAGGTAATTAGGTTGACGTATTGACGTCCATTTTCCCCATAGAGTTACTCAGTAATTCCAAGTAAACGATGTTTAGCCCACTACAGGAATATATGAAGATCACCTGAATATTCAGACACAGTATTTAAAAGGATCTGTGACTTTAAAGTATCAGTAAACCACAGATTTACTAATAACTGAATGCGACAATGAGTGTTATTACGTATAGAATACAGTGTCGCGTGTGTGTGTATTTGATTTCCCTGGTTATGGTATTATCACCTATATACCACAACATCGGAAGTGAGATTACTTTGACACTAACATTGATTCTGTAAAATACTTTATTTTCGAATGGAATTAATTTTCTCTATTTTCGCTGAAAAAAAATGATTCAGCAGTAAAAATAAAATCCAGCGAATATATATTTTTTCCTATATTTACATTCAACTCGTCAAAAATCAGCAAAAATTAATTCCAGCTGAAATAAAGTATTTCACAGTATTTAACTGTTTATTAGACAACAAATAACTTGCTATAGCATTATTAACTCAGTTTTCTGTCAGTTACTCCACCCATATTTACATGTTAACGGGAATTAGCGGGCCAGTTTTGGAGACGAAGTATTCGGCGCGAAAATTCAAAAACCTTCATGTGACTGATAAGAGTATCAGTAGGTGTATGTCAGTAACATTTTGATGATAATTTGAGGCCAATGTGAATATGCATTTTTACAGCTCACAGTTCTTTGTTCGAATCTAGAGTGTTGCTGCTCAAATACCGCATTTTGAATACGGAGGGAATACTGTATTCTCCAATGAAAATGGAATTGACTTATTGTGACGATCATTTCGACAGACTGTGATCATTTTCAATTTTTTCACCATGACCAGCCAGACACTTCATGCAGTATTAGTGGTTTTTGTTGATGTTGCATTTCTAGTATTTTGTCTACACATGTCACAAGTTTATACAAGTATATCAACGACTATGGAGTGTGCACCCATTCAAACATTCAATCATATGGTCTTGTCTATACCGATATTCTTCCGACAGTGTAGATATGCCAAAATAATCTTCCAAATGGTGTATTAAAAGTTGTTTGTTTTGTTTAATTGAGCATATCAGAACCATTTATTGTAGACAATAAAGTGGCCAATGATTGGTGATGTGGAGGGAATTCTCTCATCAGCTTTATTTTAATACCGATCCTTATTTTGTCTGGTAACGCGATTGTAAACTTAAATTAAATATTCTGAAAGAAAAGTGATATTCAAATTCGTTTTGAAAAGCAAACTGGAATTACAAACCAAAAACAAATTTGGAAATATATAAATACATATGAATTGTAGAGCGGAATGTAATTCTAAATCGATATTACAAATGAAAAATGCATTTTTATTTTAAAAGTTAATAACAAATAATGAAAACACATAGACGTGGCCCTCCTCGGTTGCCTTAATCTATGTTTTGTTTCCCGTTAAAGTGAAACATTGTTAAAACGTAGGAAAAAATGAACTCTAAATTCTGACCGTCTGGGTAGGTCGCTCTGACCGTGATACACTTTATCTCATATGTGTACAGAATAGTATTCCACATTTTTTTTGTGACACCAAAGATTCGACTTGGCCATGTTCATCTAGTCGCTATAATTTGTAGCTTTTTCGTGCAGTTTAAAGTTGCATGTATATTTTGGTATTTTTTTTTATATATGCGTTATATGTGATTTTATAAATTACCGGTAATACCAGACAGTGCGTATAAAGTAATAATGTTGGGATTGTTTCCCCGATAAACTTTGAATATATTCACTAGTTCAAAATTATGGTGAAATAGACCTATCATTGCTGATGTTCGAGAAAAGAGCTATTCACATTAAAATTGTCAAAAAGACCTCTTGCCCATTATGAAACATAATTTACAGTCCTATTGGATGCCTTGCACAGCCGTTGCTAAGTTTCTACTCAGGATTAGCGAAAACGGAGATGACATGTGAATTGAAGGAGTGGCGGGCATTTAATGTTTGGAAGTGTTTCGAAAGTGCATTCGTTTGCACGTGTGTCTTTTGTAAGTTGAACTATCCATGCTTCGAAAGTCAGTACAATAGTAAACGGCCATTTACGACATTAAATGGCCGCCAGTTCGAATACAATTCAAATGATCTCAGTAGTCAAGTGGTCATGTGATGGACCTGTCACAAAAGTTAAGATGAATCGGGCGTGGCTAATAATTGCATGGGAGACTACTTGAGCAAACAAGCTGGGAAAATACTTTTGTTGGTTCCGAAACAAACATGGTAAATACATGAAGCATTTTGTTGTATTTTTGACTCCCATGTGCGAAGTACAAAATGGGAGTCTTTGCGGTTAGTGTGTCTGTATGTGTGTGTGTATGTGTGTGTGTGTGTGTGTGGGTGTGTGTGTGTGTGTGTGTATGTGTGTCCGTCTGTTCCACTGATATCTCAAGAACCATACATCAGTTTTTGATCAAACTTGGTGCATATATGCTCTGGGCTAATGCGCATATTTGATTAGGTTTTGGTAAAATTTCATGCATAGTAATTACCTAATTTTTAGCTGTTCCATTGATATCTAAAGAATCACTTATTGGATTTTCATGAAACTTGGTACATGGATGCTCTGAACTAATGCTTGGTTTTGATTAGTTTTTGGTAAAAATTACCTAATTACTAATTACCTAATTTGCATAATGATTAGTCAATTTTTGGTTTTTCCACTGATATCTCAAGTACTAATCATCACATTTCAATGAAACTTGGTACATAGATGTCATAGGACACTGCACAGACCTGATAGTTTTTAAGGTAATGTCAGTGCATATTAATTACCTAATTTGCATGATTAATTAATTTTCAGCCTTTGATGTTTCAAGTAGTAAGCATTACATTTCAATGAAACTTGATACATAGATCCTCAAGGACTATGCAGAGATTGATTGTTTTGGGATAAATATTTGTGCGTATTAATTACCTAATTTGCATAATTTTCAGCTTTTCCACAGATATCTCAAGTACTAATTATCACATTGCAATGAAACTTGGTACATAGATCCTTTAGGACTATCAAGAGACCTGATTAGTTTTAGGGTAAATAATTGTGTATATTAATTACCTAATTTGCATAACTAATTAATTTTCAGCTTTCACACTGATTTTTCAAGTACTAATCATCACATTTCAATGAAACTTTGTACATGGATGCTGTAGGACAATAGACAATTGTGGGTTAAAATCTGTACATATTAATTACTAATTTACATAATTAACCACTTTTAAGCTATCACACTGATATCTAAAGTACTAATTATTCCATTTCAATGAAACTCAGTGCAAAGATGCTCTAGGACAAACGTGATTAGTTTGGGGTTAAAATCTGTTTATATTAATTCCCTAATTAGCATAATAATTTATAATTTTTTTTGGTTCCAATCACATTTCAATAAAACTTGGTACATAGATGATCTGTTACATTGCGCAGACCTCATTAGTTTTCCATTAAAATCTGTTCATATTAATTTTCTGATTTGCATTATTAGTTTTCGGCTTTTCCATCACTATCACTATCTATAAGTAATTTTGATTATTATTGTAATGTAACACTTTTATAGTAGAAAGTCGTGCTGGTTATTTTGATATTTTAAGTTGCTAATTTTGTTTTTATAATTTGCACGTATTTTCAATGCACAACTACCTCTTGCGGTCGGCTATAATGAATGTAAGCTATTAAAATGGCGTGCAAAGTGAGTGCAAAGTTGGTAGATTTGCGTGTATGTTTGAACTAAGTTGTTGCCATATCTAACTGTGAAATTACAAAGTGCGAAAAGTGAATAAAATGCAAGTGAAAGTCTCGTATATTAGGATAGTGCCTTATGAGCTGACCGTAACATGTTCTAAAACAGCCTAAAAAGATAGGAAAAGCACGATGGGTGGGTTTGCTAATAAATTTTACCCAAGTCATTGTAATATCGACCACGCAATTATATATATATAAACAAAATGAGCAAATGTGTTGGAAAAGCTTGTTATATTAGCAGATTATACCACTATGAAAGCGTAAAGTGATAAACGAACTGCTTACAAAGTAGTGAAAAGTGGTTGCAAAATTAGCAAATTTACATGGCAATGTGACCTATGTTGTTATATTATCGAGATCTATAATTAAAAAGTTAGAAAAAGTGAATAAATATGTCATAAATGGCCGTTTATTATCGTACTAATTACTTTTTAATTAGCATATTTTATATAAACATGAATAAAGTCGAGGTAAAGTTGCCTACAACTATTTATTGATGAATTTTTAAATAATTATTCAAAACGTAAATAATATTATAAATAAACAGGCAAAAATATACGTTAGTCATTCTAAAAATCGCGAAAGATTGTTAAATATTATTTGAATCTTAACGAACATTTGCAAAATTACAATTATATTTGCTGCATTTATTGATGAAATATTACAATGGCCTACATATTGTAATTGATGTACAATAGCAAACTAGGTCATTTTGAATCGTTAATTAATTTGATGATTGGTTTCAAATAATGAAACATTGTGATATATAATACAATTTGAAGCAACAGTTAGATTAAACAGGATGTTTTCATCCAAACATAATAATGAAATAAAAATGTCATTCGTGATATACGTTTGTCAGTGAAAACAAATACAGTTCAAATATATTTGTTATGGTCAATATAAACTCTGCAGATAAATAAGGCTATTAAATATATAAATAAAATCTTTAAACTCATAGGAGCTGGCATTTCTGTTTCAGTTCTTCAGTTAAATTTCTTGATTTTTGATTGACTATTGCAAAGTGTCGCAATTTAGGCGTATCACTCAACAATCTCCAACAAAAGCTGTCTTTTATGACGTAATTTTTGTCACGTAAACATGGTCGTGTAGCATTTTTATTAATTTCCCGAAATCGCCTCAAATCTTCTTTAAAGTCACCTTGGTAATTACTTATTCTTTCCCACAATGAATGATTGAAATGCTCGTATAAAAGCATGTCCGCTCGATTCCATGCACGTATATTTTTCTTCATAGCTGTAGTAACGGGGTTCCTTTCACTACTTTTCTTTGTAATGTAGTATATAATATCATTGTAATCCCAGCACATCATTTGTTTTAACACGACTAAAGATTCATCATAATGCTCCAAAATTATTGCAAAATCAATTTCTTTGTCTATTCGTTGGATTGCGAGCTTTATACTCGTTTCATTGTCTTGTTCACCTTCGTCGAACCTTGAATTTAAAAACCACATCTGTCCATTTCTGTGTTGGTGGTGTTTATCCGTAAAATGGGTGTAATTGTCGGTGTTTTCAATGTATTGACGGAATGGATCAGTGTAGTTGAGCAAAGGACGGGCAAAATTGAAGAAGTAAAAGGCTGACGGCAGTTGGCTATATGGTGATCTAAGAATAGTTAAATATTTAGCATCTGGTATTATACCATCCATCCAAGTTCTATTATAGCGCAAATGCATTGCCATAAAGTCTATTCCGGTGAGATTAGTGCAAGTGTAATGTCCTATATTGTAGCGTGAAGTATATAGTTGGTATTTTATTCCGTATCTAACTAACATATTTGCTGTCGTACTACCTCCTGTTTTCATAGTCTTTATGAAAATGAATCGGGACACTGGTTTACATTGAGTGGTGGAATTGTTCTCGGTATCACCATAGAAATTCATCTTTGCGTTTTCACTCTACAATTTGAATTGAAATATGAATTAGAATGTTATATATGGAGACGTGTTTGGCGTACATTGTACTAAATAGTTACATCTAAGGCATGTAATGAACACATTTTATGTTATTTCTAAATTAAATGCACTTTAATCGCATGTTTCGTTATATGACCTGAATGATCAATTACCATACTGAATATAAAGTAATATACTTCGTTGTATGTATGCTATTGAGTGATATGTCACTTACAATGCATGAACAAATATTGCATACTTCGAATATAAGTGTTGTTATTTTGTGGAATAGCCGGTGTGAAAGTAGTATGTTAAGTGTAGTTTTTGTCGATGTGTGTTTGATGGGATACATGTATCATAGCATTGTTAATATTTTACTTATCTAAAATACAACATGACAGAGATAGAAGATTGTTGCACACTGATCGATTTTGCTATTTACATAGTAGTGAGATTTATATGGTAGTTATTTTATAACATGTACTTACATTTTGGGACAGCTGTTTTCTGAACGTCAGGTTTTTACCCAGAAAATCACTAACTACAGGAACATGAAAACGCTGTGAATGTGTACCCGATCGATAAATCCACATCAATTCACAAACAAATAAAAAATATAAGAACAAGACAACAGAGAGAAAACGATATCGGCGTGTCATTTTCAACAGAAAAAACTCACTGTTTGGTTCAATCAGACAAACGCATGCGTAAATCAAGAGGCAAGCGAATTATAGTAAATTTAATCACAATATGTGGCACTGCATTAAATCCCGTGATCCTAGTACAGACTATATAAGATTTATATAGCAGACGTAAGAGAAATAGAACATATAGGTACATAACCGAAAGGATAACCGACAAATGATTAGTAAACCGCATCATACAAAAAAAAACTTACATAAATCCGTGACATAACAATAGTTTATAATGATAATATAATATGTACGTCACATCCGTCAATGTAGTATGGTTTATCAACATAATATTTGATAAAAGACTGAATTTGGCAAATCCAGACGTAAATTGTAAAACATACAAAGATCGAAATACAAAACAGACATGGAGGGGTGATCAGAATTGCCCCAAAATTAGTACCGCACTACACTGGGACCGTTATCATAATGATATATTTGGTATTGAAAAAAAAACTGTTTACTTTAATACGCTGTTGCGAACCGTACGGCACTATCCCTGTACTAAATCGACCTCGCGGGCGAAGTTAACAATACAGTGTTATGCAAACGTTTGTTGAAATATTACTTTTTATTTCACCGAAGTCATATTGAAATAGTTGATGAGTCAAAGGTTAAAGTAAATACATTAAATGTTGATACCTTTACATTAAATAATTAGCATCTAATAAAAGTCATTTATGGTCAACAAAATACAAAACGTAATACATAGTACATGAACTCCATAGATCAATCGACATATGCATACAAAGTGGATGGCTTAAATAAATAATATGAAATACAAATATTAGGATGACGACGCTTACCTATTGTAAATCGAGAAATCAAACGTTATTGCTGTCACGATCTTGACTCAATACCATTCTCCTATGTCACATTCAGTTAGTATATCATTATGTCACTGATGTCACTTACCATACTGGTGAATACGCATAATGCACAGCTAGTGCTAATTATGTACACGAACCAGCAGGCGTCATGTACACATGTGTATTGGTGTTCAAGCACTGATGGTAACATATGTACAATGTGTCCACTTAGAAACCGTAATATACGTAAACAACTCACACTCTCTGATACGTATTACTTATCGAAATATTTATTACCAAATATCGCAAAAGCTGGTAAATTGATTCAACTAAAAACAATTGTTTAATTCGTTAAGTCATATAATGCAGGTCTGAATACAGTTCTAAATAATCAAATAATAAACTAAATATTTCTTTGTGTTTCATATACATTCTTTTCTGAGTTTGTAATGTTGTAATGTGCCTGCAATGTATGTTACGTTAATTCATGCCACTGTCAGACAGACAGACATGGAATCTCTTTACTTGGACTCATATGTGTAAAAACAAGTATTCTACATGTTTATTACTTTATTGCGACCGTTAGTGTTGCTTATATATTTTAATAAGCATGTAATTTATTTTGCGATGACAAACATTTTATTTTATAAATTATATGTTCTGATCATACCAATTACGGCATCGTACAGTTAACAATCGCTTTAAAATGCATTATTTTAATTTTATCTATAGTCTCTGTTTGTCTTCCGAACAAATATTCTGTATAGGGAATACGACTAAACTTTGCACATTTCTTTAAAATATCGTAAGCAATTTTAAGCAAGAGAGAGAGAGAACTTCTTTTATTTAAAATGTTAATCAGTGTCAGTTGACTAACAGAACATTTAATTGTGTTCTATGATATTGCAATGACGTTGGGATTACGATCGTGCAACATTTACTTCGAGCATTTAACTATATTTAACTAATTACCATTGCCCAATTTAATTACCATATTTAACATATATTGTATAAACAATATTAAAGTCAAGTTAAAATCGTTAAATATTATGACAGAACCCCACACCCTTCCCATGAAAAAAACTTCCATACGCAACGAAAGCCATGGGGAGGGTGTGGGGTTCTGTTATTATTACATATGTTCCATATTTGATTATTTCATATTAAAGAAAGAACGTACAACACACCGGGATGGAATTTAGGTCGGGGAACCTCATTGTCCATTAATATGTTCCAAGATAGTGTTACGCCCTAGTAACGCGTGTCAGTGCAGAACGCGTTTCACTGTCTGTGTGAAAATAAAATAATCAGACGTCTAATCTGAGTCATTGTCCGAATAAATATCTCGCGGACGTTTAGTTGGGACCACGACCGAACTTGAACTGAACGACTATGATACACAGTTTGAAGTTAAAAGTTCCACCACAGAATTGTGCATTGGCAAACGTGCCGCAAACTGCGCTACTCCACTGGCGGGATGACTTTCTTCGACAGCGGTCGTCGCTAAGCTGCACGCTACAACTTCGTTTGTGATGTTGCTTGCTGGTCGTGGATTGAATGAATCTTGGTTATCGGTTTTAATGTCGCTCTTTTGGCGTTGGTAATCTTTATCTGGAACTGGGTAACGCCGCAACGTCGCCAGAAGAAGCCTCCTGGTATCTCGATGTTGGTGCATGGTTGCGGTTCCACAGTAATCGCTGATTTTACAGCGGGTGGATCCTCCAAGAGCCCTTCAAGGTTTATAAAATTCAGTTTTCAGATGGTCAACATACATTAAATTCTCCCAATCGTTGTATTCCATGTGATGTCCACCTAATATGCCAGAAATGTTGCTGAACGATTTGAACCGGACAACAATAGCAGACGAAAATGTGTTTACAAAATAAAAATAGTTCGGTAGCCAATGGAAATACCGTGTTCATTTGCGTATTGAAGGTGAAAATACCGAAATCATTATTGCATGGGTGATATGCAAATTAGTTTTAGACGAAATACGTAACTGCCTAAAAGTACCATTACTGTTGTTCAAATTTCATTTCACTTTGCAAGTATATTCATGTACCCCAAGGGTGAAATATCGTACTTCTAAACATTGTTTATTTCTGCTATGTTTCGAAAAAATGGTATTCCTGAAGGAACTACTTTGTTTTCTCTCAGACCTCATTTGCATATGGGGTGTGGAAACACCGATTTTGATTTCAGGGACGAATAAAAATAAACTGCAGTACATATGTAATAATATTGGAAACTTAATGAATATTTGCAAAATTACAATAACTGTAACATCTAGTTGTGAATGCAATTTAACCGAACATTTAGTTTACACTAGGTGTGTTCATCTAAACATATAAATGAAATGAAATGAAAGTGACATGCGCGATATATATGTGGCAGTGAAAATGTATATTATATACTTTTTAATTTAAACAGCGTGAATATATGTGTTTTGTTCAATATGTCACTCAAAATTAACGGGTGTAATTAATATTACCTTTCAATATTTGAACAAGATTTGTAAACTCAGACGAGCTGACATTTCTGTGCTAGTTCTTCAGATAAATTTCTTGCATTTTGATTTGCTATTGCGAAATTACGCAATTTAGGAGTATCATTTAACAATTTCCAACAAAAGCTACCTACTTTGACGTTTTTTTTGTTACGTGAACATTTCCGTGTAGCATTTTCATTAATTTCCCGGAATTCCTTCAAATCTTCTTTAAAGTCGCCTTGGTAATTTTGTATTCTTTCCCACAATGAATGATTGAAATGCTCGTATAAGAGCATGTCCGCTCGATTCCATGCACGTATACTTAGTTTCTGCTCTGTATTAACTGTTGTCCTTTTTCTACTTTTCTTTGTAATGTAGTATATAATATCATTGTAATC